CAAATTCTAGTCCTGCCAAAAAAAAAAAACCAGGGAAAAGGTGGAGAGGAAGGTGAAATTGCTCTTTTGTGAATCCCCGTTCCTTCTTTGAGGCCTAAAAGTTGCTTCCAGGAGCCCTAAAAGTTGCCCCCCAGGCTGAGCTGGGCACCTCTGGGCTGTCCTGTCTGAAAGCTGGCCTCCCTTGGTGGACAGGAGCCCCATGAGTGCAAGGCCCATCCAGCCACGAGGCTGACTTGGCTACTCTGTGTCCCCTCACTAAGAGAAAGCAGAGGTCATAGTAAATGTGCACTGAACCAATCAGCAGAATGCCAGTGACGGGCACAGCCACCTTCTGGGGAGATGATTAAAAGTGCAGGTGCCCTTTGTTTGGAAAAGGGAAGCCAGGAGCATTTTCTCAGTCATTTGTAAGCCCTGGAGGGACTGAAGGAAGATGTATGGCTGTCGGTGCTCACTGGCCTGGCCTAGGACCAGCAGGAGGGAGTTTTACAGATGGAAATGATTCACAAGAAAGCACTTTAGCAATCACAACTTATTTCTCTCTTGCTGAAAGAATTTAAGCCAAGGCCAGACGGCCAACAGCCTGGAACCCCTGGACCTCCTAAGGGGCAGCACAGTGTAATGGCTAAGAGGGAGTGCTCTGAAGGCAGGCTGCAAGGTTCCCACCCAGGGCATCTGCTCTGTAAGCAGCATCGCCACCTGCACTTCAGTTGCCATATTATTACTATGGGGATATCACATTGGTGACGTCACAGGGTGGCTGTAAGGCCTGAGTGAGATCGTGCACATAAAGTGCTTACAGCAGGGCTTGGCACAGAGTCAGCACCCATTAATGTCAATTATTACTGCTTTTCTTCCCCTGTGGAGCCAGACACTGCTGCCTCACCCATCTGACACGCTCCATTCCCTTTCGCTCTGGCCTTCTCCTCTGGAAAGGCTGAACACTCAATGAGATTTCCCATCTTCCTTGAGAAGGGGAAGCTATGCAACACATTTCTGGCCAATGAGACTGAAGTGGAATTTTCTGGGAGATTCTGGGAGTGTGTATGTGACCCCAGACTGAAACATACCTGTCACTACAGTTGATCCTTCCTGCTTTGTGCTGCCTGGAGCTGCAGCAGCATCTTGTAACCATAAGGGAAAAGGCCAAGAGAAACAATGAGCATTCCTGGCCGATGTGCCCACTGTTACATAAAGGCTCAGGCACCTACCCCGGTTATCAGTTATTGTTTGCCACCCTCAGTTAAGGCCCACAGTGGGGAACTCCAGCACTACAGGAAAGAGTGGAGGCTGGAGCCAACCCATGATGAGTCATTCTGTTCCACCCTTCCTTTCCAGCTGCAGCTACAGCCCATCTGTATAAGCACTTGCTAGGTAATTCCTTTTATGTTAATTCACTTTTAAACTTACACACACACACTTTTTTTGGGGGGAAGCAGTACTGAGGTTTGAACTGAGGGCCTCCCACATGCTAGGCAGCAGCACTACAGCTTGAACCGAACCCCTAGCTCTTTAGTTTAGTTTGTTTTTAGAGAGGCCAAGGCCCAGATGCTTTGCCTGGCTGGCTTCAGAGGGTGATCCTCCTACCTCTGCCTCCCAAAAAGCTTGGATTATAGAAGCATACCACCACACCTAGCCCTTAAACATATATTTTTAAAAAGAAATGTCTATCACTACTGAAAATGAAAAACTGGTATCCTTTTGCTACAAAGAAAAGGCAACTAAAATAATACAATAAAAACAAAATGCATGCAGAGGTGACCAGTAGTCACTCATGTACCACTGAAATTAATTGATGTAGCATGATTTGAAAAGCATTGGCTTTTCAATGCACTAGTGAAAAGCCCTTCTCTTCTGTACTAGGGGAAAAATATCACAAGATCTGACAATATCCAGCATTCCATGGGGTAACAATGAGGACAGTTGAGCAGGCTGCCCTTTGGGGAAGGAACACACTTTCCTTCTCGCCACAATTCCAGAAACACTGTTCTGAAGTGAACTGGTCTGTCTGGGATTTCCCAGCTGGCCTGTGGAAGAATTAGGTCAGGCACCACCTTATTTCCTCCTCTACTTGGGGGCAGGGGACGGAGAAGCCCTTCCTGATCACCTATCTAAAATTCCCTTCATGACTTCTTGCCCCCTTCCCTTTCTTCCTCCCTCTGTTCCCAACCTCTCACCCCCTCTTTTTTGAGACAAGGTCTCCCTATGTAGCTCAGGCTGGCCTTGAACTTGTTATCTTTCTGCCTCCACCACCTGAGTGCTGGGATTACAGTTGAGAATCACTCCACTCATCCCCTTCCCTCTTTTTTCATCGCTACACACTTCTACAGTACTCATCCTTTATCATTTATGCTACATTCATTTCCTATCTGTTTTATGCTTGGTAGAATACTAGTTCCCTTGGGGAAAAGATTTTGCTTGTTCTATTCATTTCTGAATCCCCACTGCTTAGACACTAACGTAGGTGTTCTAATGTCAAATATGCATTTGAATGAGCAAAGGAAACCTCCTCTCCTTCTAGTTCCCTCAGACTCTGGTTACCTTAGGGAAATTGCCAGTTCTGCAGTTTGAGAGGCAATGCTAGGAATTCATTGGGAATTTGGGACTTTTACCACATTAAAAAGGGATGTGCTAGATTAAAGCCTATCTATGAGTCCATACAAGATAAATTAATAACTGAATAAAGAAAGAAATGAGGGTAAAGGGACATGTCTTCCCTAGAAGAATTCCAGTTAATAAACAAAGAAGAAATGAGGGCTGTTCAAAAGTCACCATCAGGAAGCTAGCTGAAAACTACTGTAGGCAACATCCATCCAGCAATGGAAGCTAAACTCAGTGCGTGGAAGTGTGAGGAGAACCAGGATGTTGGCAGAGTCTCAAAGTATCTCCCTCAAGGTAATCTGTTAGTTACTTATAAGGGAAAAACAGTAACTTCACAGTAGAGACACCCTGCAGAAACCCTCTAACCAAGTGACTCAGGTGACCACCACACCATAAAAATATGCATGAAGCCAGGTGCTGGCTCCTAGTCAGGAGGCAGAGATCAGGAGGATTATGGTTCAAAGCCAGTCCAGGTGAATAGTTCTCGAAACCCTACTTTGAAAAAACCTTTCACAAAAAAGGGCTGGTAGAGTGGCTCAAAGTATACCAAAGCAAAACAAAAGAATCCATGAACATCAGGAACCTCCAGTATGATGTCCTGAGGAGGAGACATCATCTCTGTGGTGTTCTTCCAAACAGTTAATAACCTCAGTGAGACAAGAGAAACATCAGACAAACTAGAATCAGATACTATACAAAATAACAGAGCAGTCCTCTTCCAAAGGTCATGAAGACAAGGAAATACAGGAAAGACAGAGAAATTGTTACAGGTTGGAGGAGATTAAGGCGACATGACAACTAAATGCTCCGAGGAATCCTAGATAGGATCTTGGAACAGACAAGGGACATCACAGAAGAAAAAACTAGTAAAATCTGATCAAAGTCTGCAATTTAGTTAATAATACAGGACCAGTGCTAATTTCCTGGTTTTGATCATTGTGCTACAGTGATATAAGGTAACTTTAGAAGAAGCTGGGGGAAGGGTAGATATATGAATTCTGCAGCATTTTTGAAAACTTTTGTAACTTGATAACTACTTAAAAGTGAAAGCACTAAAGAATTGTGCAGCTGTCTTCAGTGGCTCACATCTGTAATCTTATTTGGGAGGCTGAAATTAGGAGGACTGAAGTTCAAGGTCAGCCCAGGCAAATAGTTTGAAACTCCATCTCAAAAATACCCAGAGCAAAATGGACTTGGAGGTGTGTAGTTCAAGTGGTAGAGCAGCTGCTTTGCAAGCCAAAACCCCTGAGTTTGAACTTCAGTCCCACCAAAAAAAAAAAAAAAAAAGAATTTTGCTAAGAAGCATATTTTGATGGAAACCTGGCCCCCTAAGACTGTTCCACCAACAAGTTCTAGGTACCTAACAGAGCTGTGCCAGTAAACAGCTTGGGTTTCCATCTGGATTCACTCAGGTCTCACAGCTCTACTAATGGATCTCTGTCAGCGACTCAGACAGTACCACTCCCTGCTCCCAGGCTCTGGATGCCAGAATATTCTGTTTTCCCACCTTCCATAGGTAAGGTCTCTTGGTCCTTCAAGGATCAGACAACACCCTGTTCCCAGCATTCTGTCAACCAAGACTGGCATTCTCATTCAGGAACACCCCCATGACAAAAGAGAAGGAGACGTACCCTGAAACCTTCTTCATTCACTCTGCAAGCTAAGGTAGGAGGATCGTTGAGTTCAGACATAGTGAAACCCTGTGTCAGCAAATAATCTACTTTACTGCTAGAATCCATCTCATAGATTCTAAGATGATGCTCAGTAGCAAAATGCAAACAAACAAAAACACCCCTAAATGTAACATTCAAAACCTATGTATTGCAAGTATTTAACGTAAGTACGTATTTTAATTATGTGCAATACTTATGTTGTATTTTTAACCTACACAGAAGCAGCACATTCACACAGTGGAGAGATGAAGCTGTTCTGCATCTCATTTATGGCAGCAGCTTCACAATTGAGTATTTTTGTCTAAACTCAAAGAACCGTACACCAGAGTGAAGTTTACTCTATGTAATATTTAAAACTGAATTAGATAGTGAAAAAAAATGAGTACAACACTGATGTATGCTTATGACTAAGAACTCTGAGACATCACTGTCAAGGACAGGGGAAGAAACGCTCCGGCAGCATCAATATGGCACAGCTCTTTTCCTTAAACAGAAAACAAAAGCAAAAGTCATATACACACGAGAAGGGATGGTCCTGAATGGGAAAAAGGTTGGCAGGATGCCTACTCAACGACTGACACTACTGACCTCCAGAGGAGACGTGAGGCCTGGGGGTGAAGGAAAACTTCCATTTTCCCTTTGATACTCTTTTGTATTAGAATTAAAAAAAAATAATAATAAAGACTTTTTCGTGTATTAGTTGTAAACAAACATCCATGTGGTACTCACCCTTAGTATGTTCTGGACACTAGCATACCACGAGGGTCCCAGGAGAGCCAATTATGCATCTGCACAGAGAGGGGAAAAAAAAGTCATGTCTATGGTCAAGTGGAGTCTTCTTGCTGTAAGGTCTGTCCACCTCACGAAACCTCTCGTGTTCACTCCCTCCACAAATACTGACTGCACTCCTGCTGTGCACCAGGCACTGAGAAGACACCAGTGGCCAAGACAGTCACTGTCCTCAGAAAGCAGACGTCTTAGTGCCAGAGGAGGACAATGAACAAATACATAATGCAAGGTGAGGGTGCTCAGCACCTTGATGAAACTAAGATGAGAGATAATGACAGGGCTGCTGCTTCATGGGGTGCCAGGCAAGGCCCTTCAAGGAAAGGATAGACACCTGAATAGGTGAGGTCGTAAGGGAAAAAGAGCACTCTAGGCCACAGGAATGGCCACTGAGAAGGCCCTGAGGTAGGAGCATGTGGGGAACACTCTGGGAGCAGTGAGCAGAGCAAAATAGGCTGGTGTGAGGTGAGTGAGGGTAGGTGGTGGGAGTTGAGGGTGGGAGGTGCAGGACAGATGGAAGACCATTTTAGACACACTTCCTTCATGCAGTTGTGAGCAGAGGAATGACGAGGAATGGCACTTGTCCTGACCTGTAACTCTATAGTGTGAATTTATTTCTGTGAATATTCTGTCTGGCTGCTTATATCTGAATGGATGTTTTATGGATGAATGAACATCTCCAGACTGAGTCTGTGCTGATCACCACACATAGGCCAGGCCAAGTCAGGAAGATGGGAATGGCTATTTTACAATGCCCCTCACTCCCTGGGTGCCACAGTTCTGTGCTGACTTGCTTCATCTTCCACTAACCCTAAGAAGTAGATGCTATTATTGATGAGGATACTGAGGCACGGAGACTGCCAGTCAGTCAAAAGGCCACTACAGCAGGACAAGAGCCCAGGCAGCCAGGCTACAGAGCCTGCTCCGGACCCCTGGGCCATATAGAGGGAGGCTGGCTGCAGGCTGCCCACACCTCCGTTCACAATCCTGTAATGACTCAGGCTACCCAAAGGCCAGGGTCAAGCTCAAATGCGACTGAGGGCCCCCAGGAGGAAACCCAACAAGCCATGTTTTCAGAGTCCTGGAGTTAGGACTATGGTAATAGTCCTGCCCCGGGGCATCCTGGAGAAGTCCAAAGGGGCTCTTTATTTTATTTTATTTTTTGGTGGTACAGGAGTTTGAATCAGGGCCTCATGTTTACTAGGCAGGGGCTCTACCATGTGAGCCACTTCGCCAGCCTCAAAGGGGTTCTTAATCTTTCTTATGCCAGGGACCTCTGCTGGCTGACTGGTGAAGAATGGCGGGAACTCCTCAAAATCACATTTTTTAAAATATAATAAATTACAATACATAAGCTTTCAAAGGAAACCAATTATAAAACCTAAGTATCTGTGAAACAAACCCAAATTTGAGATACATAATATCCATGCTTCTTGATCAATGCTTTAAATTATGAGATCCAGGGGTGGGTCTAATAACAAGAGTAATTTAGAACAGATGCATGTAAATGACACTTTGTGATACTTGTAGCATCTGTAATGTGATGTGGAAATAGCTGGCTCCCAGTGGTGACAAAGTCACAGGAGTTGCTAACAAAATTGTGGTTTGTTGTCCTCTTTGGTAAGGAAAGGAAATGCTAAATTTTGGTTAGACGGTACAAAAATACAGATGTAATATTTGTATTTTCTCCCCATACAACTTCATGATCCTCTAAACTTCCAACCTTCCAAGGTTCTCAGACCTAAGAATAAGAAACGTTGAACCAGGGCTGGGGGTGTGGCTCAGCAGTAGAGCACTTGACTAGCACGTACAAGGTCCTGGGTTCCATCCCCTGCACCACAAAAGAAAGAGTCCTTCAAGTGGCCTTGCAGAACAGCAAAGGTGGAGCAGGTCCAAGAAGAGGTAAGGCTTGGGAAGTGTGGGGCAGATTCAGCCTATGAACTTAGCACAGGAGGGCCCTTCGTGTCACCCTTCTGGCTCACGATGCACCCACTGCCCTCCCTGGGCCAGCCCTCTGGACCTCAGCTTCCCCATCAGTCCACAGATTTCCCATGTGAATGACCACTCAGATGAGGGTAGAAATGGGATGACGTCGAGGGCCAGACCTGGTCTGATAATAAAGCCACCTCATCACCTCTGTTCCTGTCCAGGATGATCAGAGCCAGTGAATACCAGGCTGACATGTGTTGGGACTGTAGTTCTCTGCAGTGAACTGTTATGCTGCTTGGATATAATTGAGGAGCTGCCAGAGGAATGAACTAACACAGAAGAATGCAGAGCAGGAGGGAGGAGACACAGAATCCTGTCAACCTCACTGGAGATCCTGGATCCCGCCATTACTGAAGCCATTTCTGAGGAAGACTCTCCCAAGCTGAGTCTGAACATTTCCTCTGTACATAAACAGGCTCACCTGCATGTCTATTTGTTCACACAACCAAATGGCTGGAAACTAATGCAAAAGGGCACAGGCCACTGCTGTTTGTGCTGATTCCCAGAGTGCACTACCTAGCCATAGTGGGAAGTACAAAATAAAATTAGAAACAGTTGCCATACATAGAAACAGCAAATAGAGAAAAACAAACACTTAAAAAAACCCTTGGAAATAGCCCCTTGGGGAGTTGCTGTCCTCAGCTGGTATATGAAGCCCTAACAATTTTGATTTTCAAGATGCTTAGCAGGGCAGGAGGGAACCAGAAACACCCCAGAACACTTTCTTTTATCACCAGACTTCCCATTAACAAAAATCCTGAAATGACAGAAGCCCCTGCAGTAAAGCTCTTGTAAAATTTTAATAGTGCCTTTTAAATTGCATGTAAATTGCTTTTCTGCCACTCTAATTTTTCTCCCTTTCCTTCTTTAAAGTGATGCATATGGTTCTTTTTTCCTCTTTGAGAGAGGGTCTTATATATAGCCCAACTGGTCTCAAACTCATATTCCTCCTACCTCAGCCTCTGAGTGCTGGGATTCAAGGCGTGTGCTGCCATGTTCAGCTGCACATAGGTCTTTAAAAGCAGATGAGCAATGGTGTGCAGTGGTGCCTCCTTCCGGGGCAAGGAACCTGCTTCCTGTAATTGGCAGGAGACCTATCCCTCTGAGGTCCTTCACATGGTGGGGAGGAAAATGCTATGAGGAGCTGAGGAAATGGCAGCAAAGAAGGACTACAGGGCCAGGATCCAAAATCCAAGGGCCTCACCTGAGACCACCTGGGAAGGGAGGATGCCCTATGGAGTTGCTTCAGTAATCCCAGCCTGCCCATGACTGTGGCCCATGTGACACACACATTACACTCACAGGCCAAGTTACCAGTTTATACCAATAAACTGGTATCTCAGTTTATAGCAATAGAATCCCAGAAAAAGAACCCATGGGGAAGGGGAGTACTCTGGCCTTACTCCTGTGCTGACTTGCTCTAAGAGAAACACATGGTCCCAGCAAGGCCAATCAGAGTTGGCCCTGGGAATTTTGCTGCAATTACTGGGGAAAAGAGAAGGGTTGAGGCAGGGAATTCCTAGAGCTCTACTACCCAGGGCAAATTCTTGATTAGACTACCTGAGTGTGACTCCAGTTGGGCCAGTTCTGGGATTTTTCAGGTCCCTTGAACCATTAACTTCCCTTTGCAGTTTATGCTGGAGAGATTGTCACTTACAACAGAAATAATAGAACAGGAAAGGACTTTTAGAATCAACACAGCATTCTTTCCTTCATGAATGACCCTTTACAGAAGCAGACAAAATAAAACTATGTCATGTTGCTCCAGGAAGAAAAAAAAAAAAAACAACTCATAAAAGACTGCACATCTTAAGGATGTCAAAGACCTCTGAAGCCCATGTCCTCAGGAGCTGGGAGAAGAATGCTCTCATTTAGTCTAACCATCCACTTGAGGGGAGATGTTCAAAAGACTTTGGTGGGAGCCAAGGCCCAGCTGGGGGACGTAGAAGGGCCCCCAAAACCCCAGGATGTTTCACCTTGACCTCTCCCGAGTACAGACTTCCAGGGAGACCACAGGGCTAAGGTGAAGCAGTGAGTGAGGCACTAGGGCCTCCCCACCTCCATTTCACCAACAGAAGCTGTATTTTTTCCTGTTTCATAAGATGCGCTTTCTGGGAAGTGCCTGACAAAAGTCCCACAATTCCAGTCTTCGTGCTGAAAGCAAGTATCTTACCTTACACTTCAGAATATTTACATGTTAATGTGATCTTGGTTTTGGTCCACACTGGAAGCCTTTGAAGCAGACATTACCAGGATGGCTCTGGATGAGGGTTTCTGCACTCACTTGGGCTGGCAAGGGCTCTGCTCTTCTACCTCAAGGCACACATGGGCTTTTCCTTTCTTGAATTTCTGGACCTGATTTTCTTATTCCACTTTCATACTTCCATTTCAAGTCACATGGAAGAAATCATCCATCATATTCTCCACTCCTGCTATAGCTTGAGCCCAAATGTCCCCCAAAGGTCTATGTGCTGAAGGCTTGGTCCTAGCTTGGTGTCACTGGAAGGTGATGTAACCTTTAAGAGGAGGGGGTCTAGTGGGAAGTCAGATTATTTACCCTGAAAGGGGATCATGGGAACCCCATCTCTTTTTCCCTTTCTTGTGTGCACAACCATGCCCAGATCTTCCTGTCTTTCTTTTGATTCCTGGCCACCATGAGGTGAGAATCTTCCTCTACCAGGCAATCCCACCACTAGGCAATGCCTTGTCACAGACCCCAAACCAATAGGCCAGGCAAGCATGGACTGAAACCTCCAACACTGAGCCAAAATGAACCTTTCCAGCTTCCAGATACTTAGTCCTCCGTGAGGAAGAAGGGATGGCTAATCTGACTGGTTAGAGACTGTGACTGTTGCTGGCACCAGCCTTCAAGTAGGTAGGAGTACTAGTTTGCTAGGACCACAGCAGAGATGAGAGAAGGCTCTCTTTTGTTTTCATTTTTTAGAGCAGGACATACGTGCTAGGGAACGTTCACCCAACTTCTAGGATGGCCTGGCCACAGGCCCCTTGGGCCTAGGTGGTGACAAGGGGTGGCCAGCTGTGTAAGTGGCTGTCCAGGCGTTCCAATCTAGACCCTCTGCAGTCTTTACCATAAGCTGCAT